CTGTTAGCGAGAATATACAGTACATGACAACACGCACGTGCGCGTGTGTATGTATATACATAGGTGCGTACGTACGCACCTATGTATATACATACACACACAGATGCCTGCTGACATAAATAAGGCATCAAAGTAAAATATTCCTTGCATTACAAGAAACACACGGCCAAAGTGTAACGTTAGACCTGAAATGACGGTCGCGTTTTGTTTCTTACGCACGCAAATCAAAGCGTGAACATTGCCGTGGTTGCTCTTGAGCCGCTGCTATTCTACCACAACGCCGGCTGATGTAAGAGTGGCGGGTAACGTGGTGTTCCATCTCCCAGAGAAGAAGGCTCCCAGCAGCACTCGGCGGTCGCAGCAGCAGCAGGGCGATGCTGCCCTCCCTCCCTTGTCCCACACACGAGGGATAAAGGGGGACACGGAGCCCCTGTGGGTCCCTTTTGCTTGACCAGCCCGGCCCTCCCTCGCCCCCCACTGTGAGTCCACTCTCTCGCGTGCACCGATGTGTGTCCTCATCATCATCCTCCTCCTCCTCGTACGCACGCGCAAGGAGCGTGCGTTCAGAGCGCTTCGTGTACCTGTTGTGTGTGTGTACAGGGTTGTGTGTGTGTGTACAGGGTTATGTGTGTACATGGATGTGTGTGTGTACAGGGTTGTGTGTGTACAGGGTTGTGTGTGTGTGTCTATATAGGGTTGTGTGTGTACAGGGTTGTGTGTGTGTGTCCAGGGTTGTGTGTGTCTATATAGGGCTGTGTGTGTGTCCAGGGTTGTTTGTGTGTATATATGCTGGGTTGTGTGTATACCAGGTGTTGTGTGTATGTTTGCCAGGTGGTGTGCGTGTGTGTGTATCAGGTTGTGTTTATCGGGTTGTGTGTATCGGGTTGCGTGTGTAAGTGTACAACGTTGTGTGTGTACCAGGTTGTGTTTATCGGGTTGTGTGTGTGTACCAGGTTGTGTGTTTTGCCAGTTTGTGTCGCGTTGTGTGTGTATCACGTAGTGTGTGTACGAGCTTGTGTGTGTATCACGTTGTGTGTGAGTGTATCGGGTTGTGTGTACCAGGTTGTGTGTGCCGGGTTGTATGTTTTGCCAGTTTGTGTATGCGGGTTGTGTGTGTATCACGTAGTGTGTGCCGGGTTGTGTGTGTGTGTGTACCAGGTTATGTGTGTACCAGGTTATGTGTGTGCCGGGTTGCGTGTGTGTGTGTGCCGGGTTGTGTGTGTGTACCAGGTTGTGTGTGTGTACCAGATTGTGTGTGTGTGTGTGCCGGGTTGTGTGTGTCGGATAGCGTCTGTGCGCATGACTTTCATGCACACGACAGAGCAGTGTCTGTGCTAAAGATTTGCCTCTGCACGCTTCGCATTGGTACTACACGTTGTCTACGTGGTGGCTAATCACCAACAGCACAGGCTTTCTCTTGTCCCGCATGCATCAAGACAAATACCCCCCCATCCCATCCCATATAGGATCAACAGACTATTCAGTACAGTTGGTGAGTAGCACCTGTGAAGGCCGGCACTGTGGCACACGAGGGGATGGGTGGCCAACACCACGCGCGGCCGCCTTTGTCTCCCCAGTGTCGATGTTTACACACCGCACCAGGTACTTATTTGAGGCTGAGTCGACCTAGGGGGAGGCCACAGGACCGGTTCAGATGATCGTCACCGGTGTTGGCCGTGCGCGAGGAATCGAACCCGGGTCGCCGGGTTTTCGTAGCACAGCGCTAACCGCTGCACCACCGCTCCCCGCGCGCACACACACGCGGGATGTGTGTGCGTGCGTGGACGCGCGTGTCCGAGGGAAGACAGGAGGATGACGGCCCCGTGCTGGGGACACGATCTGGGGACACGATCTGGGTACACGATCTGGGTACACGTCCGGCGCGCATTCCGTTCCGGCACACGGCGCCGGTGGGCGAACCGGTCTGGCGTGGTGGTGTGCGCGGCGCGGGCATAATGACCGCTGCTGGCCTTTCCCGGCCTCTCCGCCTCGCCCCCATTACCTAATCGCCACCCCCCCCCCGCTTCCTCCTCCCCTCTCCGTCCTCCCCCCCTACAACACCCCGCCCGCCAGCCACTTCAACATCATCTCACCTCCCGTCCAAAGCAACAACCGCGAACCCCCACAACCACAATCCCACTCACTGACACACGTCTCTAACGCTGCTTGCTGCTGCTGCTGCTACACGGCCCAGGCAGACAGCAGACGTACAGCCGCCCAGACAACACAAAGGGTTTGGGGCCACTACTGGAAGTCAACAACAACAACAACAACGGCGGCAATGAGCCCCGTGGTGTAGAGGAGCGACATGCCCCGTAGCAGCCACGTCTGGGATATTTAAGTGCGCTCGCATTCCATGCCCATCTTGTTTGTATAACGCACATTTCCGCCCAATTCTCCTTGCCCGACACCGAGGCGATGACGATGGTCGTGATGATGATGACGATGCTGCCTCTCTCGCCGCGCAGTCTGGGCCCAATCCTCATTATTATTGTTCTTAACACTCAAGAAGAGCAACCAACCAGACACCGCACTGAGATGTCTCCTCCGCAACGTTTCGTCTCGGCACGACATAAAAGCCATCGCCGTTTGCTGCTCAGGCCGGAGGTGCGGAGCCGAATAAGATTCGACGGGAAGATGAGTTAATGAGGGATGCACGAAATAGGGACAGACACACGGCACACACGGCACGGCCAACGCGAGTCCACGTGTCGTCGATATCTCTCACAACCATCACTGTCACTCACGTCCGCCAATGACCGCCCGAATAAATACAATAGCCCTACTATCATCACCTATCATTTAAAATATATGTGCGTTGCGTAAATATGAACAATCTTTAAATCCGCGTGCACGAATTCGTATATTAATAATAAGTGATGTGATTGTGTGCCATTTTAAATGGCAATGTATTAAAGTAATATAAATATGACGCATGGTGCAACAACACAAATAATAATTGTCATCTTTCCGAGCATCGCTAAAAATTAAATTCGTGAATACCCAACTCGCGCGGGGGTGTTCCCCGTACGGGGATATCACTCACTTCGAACGAGGCCTATAATGTTATCTACCGCCCTCTGTATACATAAAAAAACCCATGCACATTCACGATGACAACGACGATGGCGGTGATGAATTATGACGGTGACCATGGTACACCTGAAGAGGCGACACCGCGAGAAGAGAAAATCGAGCATCCCCGACACTCACCGAGATCAGAGGCGGGCGGCTTTCGGCGACCGCGTTTGGCTCCGGCATTCGAGTTCCACGCGGCGCGCACATTAGGCTGTGAAAACTTACTTTGGCCGTGTTAAGCAGCAGGAATCGATAGATTGATTTTGGGATTCCGAAGCAGACTCGGGCAGCCCGCGCTGTGAAAAGCACAGCTCTGCGCTGTGCTGGATGGCTTGCTGCTGCTGCTGCTCCCAAACCACGTCACGCTATTAACGCGGACTTGTAACGCGTGTGTTGGGTCAATACGCAGCCCATTTAGCGCAATTGTGCTCACGCCGATACTGTTGGCGCTATTCAAATGGCGAAGTCCATCACCGGTCCTTGAGCCGACCTCCCCCCCCTCCCCCCGCCCCCGCCCCAAAAAAAATCACATTTAATTTCATTCAAAGGCAACTAAAAGTTAGGAAACTTTGAGGTGTGGTTACGGAATTTGAACGTCCACATCTATCTACAGCACTGATGGATTTGTATTCAAATGTAATTCAAATTGCAATTATTTAAAAAGCGAGCCGAACGCAATCCACGTCACACCGACTGTAATCGTGTTTATTATATTGTTATTATTTTAATTCTCCTCTAATTGTCCGCGTATACTGAAATAAGTCCATATTAGGAATACATCGACGTGAAAGACGGGCAGAGAACGAGACCACGAAATGCGTGACAAAGAATAAGCACATTATAATAGAAAGATGCAACAATGTCGGATGTAGTAGCGCACCGTCTATCCCTGTGGTGTGTGTCCTTTTAATGGCCATCACTGGCATTTCCATTGAATGTCACCGAGCAATAACACAAATGCCATCATAATAGATCGTGCATGTGTGTATATCACGGCATGCAAACGCCCGGCCATCGTTTTCGCAAGTAAGTATAATTAGCCTAAGTTGTCATAAATCATTTGTACCCATTTCTAAATCACCCGTGTAAATATGGCATTTGCTTGGACACACGCGTGTGTAGAACCATTCTGCGGTGACACGAACTTTAAGGGAATTCGCCTGAACGTTTGTCGTGGGTTTTCCAAGGCGCACGATGACGATGGTGGTTTGAACGGAGGCGACTCCACGTGTTGGGCGGCAAGATGAATGGAGTGCCCACAGGGTGCTCTACCCCATTCACGTGTCATCAGTGAACGGCCATCACGGAACAACCATGACAACAGCGGCGACGCGAGCATGTGAAGTTGGAGACCCTCAGAAACCACTGAAGGCTGCGCATAATAAAAACGCCCATTTAGACGTCGAGTGAGCGAGGCAGCGATGAGCGAAAGGGGAGCACCCTGGGCTCGGCTGAATGGCACGGGCGAGAGAAGCGGTGCCACCACCACGGGAAGTTGCCTCGCGTTCGAGTCCAGCGTGGCCCGGTCCCCAGCGGCTTTGGCTGCGTTAGCGCCCCTCTACTGACGGCCTCTCACTCTCTCTCTGTCTCTCGTCCCCCGGAGCGCCGGGGGGCAACGGGTCAAACGTGGCCAGTGTCCCGCAGCAGCGCGGGGTAAGCGAGCCGTCCCCTCCACCGCCAAGCCAAGGCGCCGAGTTTGACTTTGAGGGGAAGCCCTCCGCGTCTCTCGCACTCGGGGGAACAGCGCGCACCATCACACAGCCGACAGCTCTCGGCCATCCTCCTCCTCCACCCCCCCACCCACCCACACTCCCCAACCCAAGCTCCCCGCCAAAGTAAAGTGAATGGGCCGCGAAAGAGCCGGCCGGACGGGGCAGGCGCCGCTCTGCGGGCTCGCACTCCCAGGGCCACCAACCACTCACCTCGTCCCGCGGCGGTGACGACGAGGGGGCCGCTCCGCCCCGGCGCTGCGCTCCGAGCCGGCGCCCCGCGGCGACCCCCCGATGCCGTCCTCGCCCCCCCTCGGTCGGTCTCCCCAAGGCGCCCGGACAGCACGGTCCCATGCAAGCCGAGTCGCCCCCGCGGCGGCGGCCCCGCGGCTCGGCTCGACGGAACAAGGGAGGAGGATCTCTTCGTCGTCTTCGTCGTCCTCTTCCTCTTGGCGCTGCGCTCACGGCCGCTGCGTCCCCCGTCCCGCGCCCGGTCCCTCTCCGGCCGCGCGTGCGGTCGCCTCAGTCGCTCGCCCTCCCTCTCTCCCCCCCCACCACCAACACCACCCCGGCTCCCACAACAACTCACCCCCTCGGCGTCCCCTCCTCCTCCTCCTTCCTGCCGCTGCTGCCTCTCTCTCTCGCCGCGCTCGCTCGAGCCCCGGGCAGGCAGAGAGAGGGAGAGAGGCTGGTAGGTAGCTTCGCTGCCGGCGCCTCGACTCGGCCGCGCCGTTCCCTTTCCGGCTTCTGCTACCGCCGCCTCCTCCTCCTCTCCCCTCTTCCTGCCCTACTCTCCTTCCTTCCCTCGCCGCTCGCCGCCGGGCTCCGTGAACGAGGCTCCCTCTGCCCGGCCGCGCACGGGGGCGGCTCTCGCGGGGCGCGGAGCCCGGCGCCGCGGGGAGGCAGCGAGAGGCGCTGGTTGTGGGGGGGGGGGGGTAGTCGCTCTCTGCTCGCTCTCTGCTCGCCGTGCTGGGGATGGTGGCGGTGGCGGCGAGCAGGAGGCTGCTGCTGCTGCTGCGTGCCGAGCGGAGCCGCGCTCGCGAGCGAGAGAGCAAAAAAAAGTCGACGGGGCAGCGTTTAGCCGCGCTAATTATTTTATTCTTTTTTGTGTGCCGCCTGTCCCCTCTCTTCTTGCTCGGCGTGTAAAAAAATGGCTGATTGAGTTCAGTGCGCATGCCCTCATTACGCAGGCACGCCGGGAAGGTGCAATTAGCGAGAGATCAATATTCATCAGCTCGCGCCGAGCGCCACTCGTTAAGGAGGATCGCTCCGCCCGCCACGCGGCGAGAGGCGGACTCCTTAAGACGCCCCGAGACGCCCCGAGACACGGAAACACCTCCGACACCTTTGAGGGTAACCCACGTTTATTGTTGTTGTTGTTGTGCCATTTGAGAACAGCGAACAGCTCCGCTGCTCTGCCGCCGCTGCTGCTGCTGCTGTTGTTGCTAAACAACAACAACAGCAGCAACGCCGCCGCTGCCGCTGCGCATTTAGCGGCGAGCAAAGCTCGGCGCCGCTTTAAACGCGGTTCGAGGCCGCCCGCAATGATCAACGCAGCCACGAGCAGCAGCAGCAGCAGCAACAACAAAGACTGTAACAACAGCGGAGCTTTCCCGCGTTGTGTAGTCGGGGGGAGTATACTGGTAGGCTCAGCGCACGAGAAGGTAAAGGGGTGTTCTGTGTGTTCATGAAAGGGCAATTGCGTTGTTGGGTATCTGCGTCCTGCTCACAGTCGGCCGCCTGTGATCGGTCGTGCTGCCTCGACTCGGTTCCCGTGCGCGGTGTTTACTCGCGGGGCCCGCAGCGGTAGCCACGACGCTACGAAGTGGTCCCACGCCCAGCCCAGCACAGCCCAGCCCAGCCCAGCGTGTTCACGACCACCGGCTTCATCACTTAAGCATCCCCCTTACGATGGACGACAACAACCATCACCACCACCAAGCACCGTGCGTCCCCATTCATATCAAACGACGCAGTTGAACACGGGGCTGTGCATATTCATGGCTTGACGCCACGGTGGTAACGACCGAGACTTGTACACGTCGTAACGCTGACATGATGGTCACGGCTGGTTTCGCAATAACTAAAGAAAACATTTCTCAATTTTCAATCAAGTGCATTGGGACATACTAGTGGAGGGAAGGGGGGGGGGCACGGATGTGAATCACACGGCCATCATGATGACCTCCGTGCGTCTGTGCGCAGCTGCTGCTGCTGCCCCTGTGAATGTATCCCGGGCCATACCTCCCCGCGTCCGGATAGCATCGAGGCCTCTCGCCATCTCAGCTCCCCCCCCAATATAAAATATATCGTGTACTTTTATTCTACAGCCCAGCGGGGGGTTCCTGGGCCTCCCTTTTAAAACGTGAACACAATCTCGACGGTGGGTGAGGTGAAGGGGGCTGGTGGTGGTGTGGGGGAGGGTGTGGATGTTGCGGCGTTAAAAAGGGGAAACAATCCATGGCTAAACGCGTTAAAGACTGCGGAGCAGTAAATAACACGGGGAGAGCCGCTATCTCAATCGGAGGAGACGCGCAAAGCGTAAATCGTTAAGTGAAATCGAAGGATTAGGGCGAGGAAATCGAAGGCGCGGCGGGTTTGTTTGTGGGTGCAGCGCGTGCCGAGAGGCGGCACGCGGGTGGCCCCCTCTGCGCTCTCCTCCTGCTCCTCCTCATCTACTACCACTCCTGCCTCTCTTCATGTCCCCTTATCTCTTCTTCCCTTCGCTCCACGCGCCTCCTTTGATTCTCCAACGTTGACGCGCCGCCCGTGTGCGTGGCACCGTCCGTGGCGCGGCAGTGGCCCGTCTAAGGATGGTCGTGTGTCATCACAGAGGACTCATCATCATCATCTGCTATTGTTTCGTTTCACCTTAAAGACTCGGCGCGTGGTTTTATTTGTGTGTCCACGCGTAATTATTACAGTGGCCTAGAAAGCACTCCACCGTGTGTGTGTATATATAGCGCCGACTATTTAGACGCATACACACGGGGGAAGAGTGCCCCAGCTCCAGCAACCCACCGCATGCAACGCGACATTTGTCAGACAAATAAGAGGCAGCAACCATTCATTCCTCTGCGGCGTGTTTATAATCACAAGTGCGTGTCAGTGAGTGCAGCCAGTGTGTGCCCATGCTGTGTACACGTGTTTTGTCAAGTGGCTCACGTCCCCTCCTCTCAACCCCAACTGCCTCGTCCTCGTGTGGAGCAGCAGCAGCAGAAGCAGCAGCAGCAGCGTCGTCGTTGTGTGTGTGTTTTATTAGCACGTTCTGCTGCTGCTGCTGCCGCCGCCGCCTCTGTCTCTGCCCTTTCCCCGCACTCAATCTTCTCGCGAATAACTCCCCGTGACTCGCTCGCGGCGCGTCCTGCTCCTCCTGCTGCTGCTGATCCTCTCCCCGCGCTCCGCGGGGCTCCGAGTGGCCGCCAGACGCCCGTTACTATTTACCGACCATCGCGGGAAAGGTGAGTTATTGTAGGAGGTGGAGTGAAGTGACAGTAGAGGCAGCCACGAGAGCGGAGAAGAGAGAGAGAGGGGGGACGCGAGCGAGAGTGTGAGCGAGTGAGAGAGCGCGGAGGGAGCCACCGCTGTCGCGTCGAGAAGCGAGGAGGCCCAGCGAGGTGGACACTCGCTCGAGATGACCGTGAGAGTGGCCGTGACAGCCGAGCGGGTCGGGCAATGCGCGCGGGCAGGCGCGGCCGCGCTGGCACGGGGACCGATGCGGACAGAGACAAACGTAAGCAGAGGTTCTGGTGGTGTCGTTACGGGCGAGAATGACATGTGGAATGACCGCGGCTCCTCAAGTCGCTTTGGTTGGGAAAAAAAGAGAGAGTTTAGAATCCCAGGATTAACCGCCGCCATTGGCAGACGACGGAAGAGTCGCGGGTCTTGGCCATGAAAGTTAACAGACCAAAGAATAAGTCTATCGTCGCGTCGTCGGTAAAAGTTCGCCGACGGGAGGGTGTGTGGTGTTCGATCTGGATTCACGGCTGTTGTTGTTGCGTCCACGCCGTTAAAACTTTGTCAATCGCGACACAGCCGAGTGGTCATCGTCGTGCGTTCGGCTCGGCGAGTCGCGCTCCGCGTTCACAAACTCGACTGGCGATGCGTCAACAACGCGCGCCACGCAAACCCAAGCGTGTCGACGATTTCACAATCGCCGTTAATTTCCGACTGAGCGGACATTAACCGTGTAACGAGCGCGTTGCTGCTACCTCGAGTAACAAAAAAACACATCGGATATCGCGGTCATGTGAACGGACGAATCGCGCGTAATTATTCACATTTCAATATTTATCAGGCGTGCTCTCCCATTTCAATATGCATTTGTCTTCTTAAATAAGCGTTTGTTTCGGTGATGCGCCGAAGCGTTGCTGCACACTAGCGGCGCGCAGACGAGGAGGAGGTGGAGGAGGAGGAGGCGCGTGTGTAGAGAGAGAGAGACGCCCTCTGTTGCTCGAATCGATCCATAGGTGACAGGCGGAGCGCGCCGCGCCCGTGCAAGCACGCAGCCAGCGTGGTGCGTTGGGAACCGTGCCGTGATTCACTCAACTACTGCTGCTGCTACTGCTGCTGCTACAAACTCAGATGAGCTCGCCACGCTGACGAGCCTCTCGTTTTTTGTCAGCAGTACGCGTCTAAAATGAAGCTCGAATTTCGGTTGGCATTTTTTGTTCTCGTGACAATTTGAACCCGGAGCCCGCGGTGTCTGCAGACGCGTCAGAGTGTTGTTATTCTCGCACAAATCTATGGTCCACTCAGCCACGTCATGATCGCAGAGTAATGATTGCGGCCGCTCGTTCGGTACGTGTGCACGTGTGTCTGTGTTCATTGAATACCAGCGCAGCAAATCACAAATAAACACGACGCGAATTTTTGTTTAAAAAAAAATACGTGCGTACGGACTGATACGAGACACGGTTACCTTACCAACACACAACACCGCAATGTGCATGCACAATTGTGTTAATTACTCGCCTATTTGTTATCTACAAAAGCAAGATCGCGTATGTACTGTACATACACAACACTGATATTTATAAAGTCGTATGCATATTGAGTGGTATTCTTAAAATCAGCCAGAATACCGCTGTGTGTGCATATACACACAACATGTCGCCTACACGTGTGTATATATGTGTATATATTCAGTCATACAAACGTGGTTCTCGGGAAATTGTCAAATGTTGATAGAGAGCACGGTCGGCTACGCACGGCGCGAAATAAGTTCAACATACACACAGAGACCACGTTACGAAGTAGCTGTACCCGACTGAGTAAGAATCGTCAGTCTTACGATACAATAAAAACCCGGCATGGTAAATGTTACGCGTCGCTTATATTTTTTAACACACCGCTACGAGCGTCACAGAAACACAAAGCTCACTTGGAACGGCTAAGACAACAACAACAACAACACACGAAGCGGACGGGACACGCATCGTGTGGACTACACTCGCGAGGCGCGCACTGCGAGTAGACACCGATGCACGCGCTCCTAGTATCGATGTGCGGTCGTTGCTTTGGGTGACACGCAACAAGCATCGGCGC